GTATAAAATTATGGATTAAGACACCCAGGCTACCGCAGGCCTGAAATATACCTTCCATCCTTCTTTGTAACATCCCCCAAGGTGTTCATCGCTGCAACTCTGTCATGGCTTTATTTCAGGTGCTCGTGATTGAGCCTGGAGAGTTTTCAGCCTCCTTAATTACCTCCCTGCCTCCAGAACCTTCCCTATGACTTCCAATTAATCCTGTTTCAAGAGTAAAATAGCGTTTTCTAATTATTACAAAGTGGTGTGTGTCACATGAGTCCTAGAGCAAGAGTAGATTCCGACTCCCCCCAATTCAATGTTCCCGGCAAATAAATTGGTGGCAGTGTACTCTTTGCAAATAGTCCGGGATATAAAGACCGTTACAGAAGGAGCTAGCTTGAAGAAGTCCTGGCATCTCGGCTCTCTGATGGATGAAGTTATTTACCTACAGTTTTTAAAAAAGATAACGCCAGAGAATTCCGGACTAGTCACAGATTTTACAACAAAGTAATCAGGCAGTGTTCCTCTCATCTCTCCGGACCTCTTATGTTCTGCATTTAAAAAATATATATTTATCAGCGACTTGTACATCTTCTTTTGTGTAACGTCTCTTCAAGTCTTTTGCCAATTTTACTCTCATATTGTACTTTTCTCATTGATTTGTTCTTACTGTAATCTGTCTACAAGTCCTTTGTCAGATTTGTACATTTTAAAGTTACACTTCCATTCTGGTTTGCCTTTTGGCTCTCTTAATTGTATCTTTCGATGAACAAAGGGCCACAGAAGACCCCCAAACAGCCAAAATAATCTTAAGAAGGAAGAAAAAAACTGTAGGCATCACACTTTCTTATTCAAACAATATTGCAAAGCTACAATAATCAAAACAGTATAGTACTGACATAAAGACAGTCATACAGAGCAATGAATAAAACAGAGAGCCAAAAATAAACACATCAGGTGCAGGCAAGTCATTCTCGACAAGGGCACCAAAAATACTCAGTGAGGAAAGGATAGATAGTCTGTCAATAAATGGTGTTGGGAAAACTGGATATCCACATGCAAAAGAATGAAATGGAACTATCACCTTACGCTGCACACAAGAATCAACTCAAAATGAATTAAAGACTTACATTTAAGAACTAAAACTCCAAGAAGAAAAGCCCTAGAGGAGAACATAGGGGAAAAGTTTCTTGTTGTTGGTCTTGGCAATAATTTTTTTTGGTATGACATCGAAATCACAGGCAACAAAGACAAAAATAGATAAGGACTACATCAAACTAAAAAGCTTCTGCACTGGGGCACCCGGGTGGCTCAGTCATTAAGCGTCTGCCTTCAGCTCAGGTCATGATCCCAGGGTCCTGGAATGGAGCCCCACATTGGCCTCCCTGCTCAGTGGGGAGCCTGCTTCTCCTTCTCCCACTCCCCCTGCTTATGTTCCCTCTCTCACTGTGTGTCTCTCTGTCAAACAAACAAATAAATCTTTAAAAATAATAAAAAATTAAACAATAAATAAATTAATTTTTAAAAAGTTTCTGTACAGCAATGAAAACAATCACCAAAGTGAAAAGGCAACTCTGGTAAGAGGTTAATTTCCAAAATATGTAAGGAAAAATCGAATAAAAACAAGTCAATAGGGGCGCCTGGGTGGCTCAGTGGGTTAAAGCCTCTGCCGTCGGCTCGGGTCATGATCCCAGGATCCTGGGATCGAGCTCCACATCGGGTTCTCTGCTCAGCAGGGAGCCTGCTTCCTCCTCTCTCTCTCTCTGCCTGCCTCTCAGCCTGCTTGTGATCTCTGTCTGTCAAATAAATAAATAAAATCTTTAAAAAAACAAACAAAAAAACACAAGTCAATAGCAAAAACACTAGTAGCTCAATTTAAAAATGGCCTAAAGACTTGAACAGACATTTCTTCAAAGAAGACATAAAAATGTCCAAGAGGTACAAAGAAAGATGCTCAGCATCACTAATCTTCATATAGATGCAAATCAAGACCATGATGAGATATTTCCTCACATGCATCAAGCTGGCTACTGCAAAAAAAAAAAAAAAAAAAAAAGGAAAAGAAAAAAGAAAAAAGAAAAGAAAAGAAAAAAGCAAGTGTAGGTGAGGATGTGGAGAAAGAGCAAACTTTTGTACATTGTTGCTGGGAATGCAGCTGCTGTGAAAAACAGTATGAAGTTTCCTTAGTCAACAACAGAACTACCATATCATCCAGTAGTCCCACCTCTAGATATTGATCTAAAAGAACTGAAGTCGGTATCTCAGAGATATTAGCACTCTCACATCCACTCCGGCATTGTTTACAAGAGCCAAGATGTGAAAGCAACCTAAATGTCCACTGACAGATAAGTGCATAAAGAAAGGTTGGCATCTATACATACAATGGAATATAATTTAGTCTTTTAAAAAAGGAAATTCTGTAATATGTGACAGCGTGGATGAACCTGGAAGACATTATGCCAAGTGAAATAAGCCAGTCACAGAAGGGCTAATACTGTAGGACTCCACTTTATGGTGTACCTAAGATAGTCACTCACAGACTCGAGAATGGAATGACGGTTGTCAGAAGCTGGAGCTGGAGAGAAATGGGGAGTTGCTAATCAACAGGCACAGGGTTGCAGTTAAGCAAGATGAGTAAGTCCTAGAGATCTGCTGTATTACATTATACTGTAGTTAACGGTACTGTAGTGTGCACACAGAAGCCTCTTAAGAGGACGTCTCATATTAGGTATACCACAGTAAAATAAAAATCTTAAAAAGTAGGTCACTCATTTATTCACTCATTCATTTGTTTAAAACTGCTATGTATGAGGTACTATGCAATGTTTGTTTTTTTTTTAAAGATTTTATTTATTTATTTGACAGTGAGAGAGAGAGAGTGCACAAGCAGGGGAGCAGCAGGCAGAGGGAGAGGGAGAAGCAGGCTCCCTTGAGTCCCGATGCGGGGCTCAATCCCAGGACCCTGGGATCATGACCTGAGCTGAAGGCAGTCGCTTAACCGACTGAGCCATCCAGGCACCCCTTTATGCAACGTTCTAAGAAGAAAGTGTGGAACAAGGCAGACATGATCCCTCCCTCATGGAAATGTAGGAAAGTAGGCCAAAAAAAAAAAAAAAAGACATTGAGCAATGACTTACACTAGTGTCTACATAAGTAAAGGTGTAAAAGTGCAGAACATATTTCAGGGTTCTCTGAAACTACTCACCGTGACACTGTAACTTAGTCCAGGGTGTCAGAGGACACTTCAAGGGTGAAATATATTTAAACCTGAGATCTAAGGTGACTAAGAATTAGTCTTCCACTGGAAGGGTGTGGAGTGGTGAATACCATCATAAAATGGTTTGTAGTTGGGTAAAGATAGAGATAGAAATATGTCTACTTTTAGGTTTTAGCATAGTATCTAATGCATAGATTTTCTAAAAATTGTTTAACACTAATTCAGCAAACATCTATTTAGTCCTATATTCCCAGCATTACACCATTTAAGAGGGATGCAAAATCATTAATCATAAACACTGCACTTTCATTCCAGGGAAAGAACAAGATCTTCCACCTGTAATGGTACTAATCAAGTGATGTGAATAAAATGTTGGGAGATGGTCAGGAATGAAGGGACTTTAATTCTCCCAGATAGGATCTGGAATGTTTTTGTGCAATCAGTGGTACCTGTTTCTATCATTCATCAGCCATAGTCAGGCTTCCTTAAAACCTAAAGGAATAGTATCTTTCTAGGACAGAGGGAGTCTCACAGCATGTCCATTTCCTAATTTGCTGGATTTGAGGTGTTTGAGCTATTAGGCCCTCCTAATGTGGATTATCAGGTTTAGCTTTGTTCTGAAGGTCATTGATTGATGGATTCATTCCCAGAATCAAAGGAACCTGACTTTCAACCTTAGAGAATATTCTGCTTTGTGGCCATGGTTCAAGAATAGAGCCAGAGTAGATTGCAGCTGTGTATCTTTGACAACCTGCCAGTCTATGTGGCATTTGTAGATGGTAGAGTCCTAAGAAAAATGTTAGGGTGAGCTTCATTGTTTTATTAGAAAGCTTACACGTTGGTGGATCAAAGTTAGCAAAGGGGAGAGGGAAGAGCATGTGTGTGAGAAATGTCTGCCACCAACAAGCATGGTGTGTGTGTCAAGTGTCCTAGGACAGATCCATATTACATGAGAAAAATATATGTGATTTTTAAAAAATGTACATCACTTATGTTGAAAATAATATTACAATTCCAGTGGATTCATGTTTGTAAATTCAACAGTACTAGCAAACCCAAATTATCTCTAAACATAGGTGACATGAAAACCTGGGCCACTCAACGTAGTCACATTTCAGAAATGCCACAAAATGTCACAGCCACATTAGTCATCTTGATCTAATAATCAACTGCAATGATAGTAAAATGTTATAATTATTTTCAACTTAATTGAGTTGAATGTTTAATTTTTTCATTTAAAAAATAAGTGGAAACACAGTGTATGTGTTGCACTCATATACTTTTATATAATCATGTTTATGTGTTATTTCTCAGTCCCAGTAGAGGTGCACACGTAATTTCTCTACCCCAATGGATTCTCAATGTAGTTTTCCAAAACAAATAAACCAATTAACTTGTAATTACATTCAGTGAAGTAAGTGATTTGGGCCTTATCTCAAATGACACAAGCCTCACTTAAATATGGCTCTGCCGTTCAGTGACCAATCCTCGGAGCCTATCCCTAGTGTTGCAGTGGATGTGTCACTACTTTATCCTTGCTCCTTTTTAAAGACACAGAAATATTTGATCTCTTATATGTACAAGAAGTTGAAAATTGATTATTTTGAGTAAATTATTAGTAACTGAGCATTTATTTGTCATATACGCAGTGCTGGGTCTTTTCATTCGAATCGTATCGTTTTTAACACAAGAATCACATGAGGTATGTATTATTATTTCCTTTTTATAGGTGAGGAGACAGAAGATCTACAACTTCTTGTAACGTGACTCTGATTCCATAGACAACAAGAGGCAGAGCTAGAAACCGATCCCAGGTTTGTGTGGCTGCAAAATCCAAGGTATTTCTGCACGTCCCTTTGTCTTCCCTGATGTCATTCATATCCAACTTTGGAAACATTTGTGTCTTTCATCCATTTATTTTTTTCTCAATAAATCTATTTCAGGTTGAGGCTTTGTCTTATTAAAAGTGCCAGAATATGAGAATTCAGACACATAACCCTTGTACTGTTCATACTGTAGGATGTCATTGCCATGATTCACATGTAACATTGAGTAAAACGTGCATGGTTGCTGGTAGTTATGTATGTATGTTTTCTTCCTTCTTCATCAGATAGAAGCTCTTCAGGAAAAATCAAATTATTGAGAAGAAAGTGTTGGTCTTTAAACTAGAAGAGCCATGGAGATGACTGAATGTGACTAATATATTCTCCCTTGCCCTTGATGGTATGCTCTAATTTGAAATAAGGGAATATCATTCTGAAATATTGATCTTTCTTTCAATCCAATTTCCTAGCCTTCCTAGCTGGCTACTTGCATCCATATCTCTCTAACTACCCTCTCCTCCCACCACCATCATAAGCTCCTACTTCCTATTTCCTTACAGTTGCTTAATAGAACTGATGAAACCAAAACTTACTACTGCAGGTCCCCAAATGCTTCAGTTCACTTTCCAATTAATCCAGTCCATGAAAATACCTGGACTCTTCTTATTGCTTCATGTAAGCTCAGAAGGATGAAAAAGTGTGGTATAAGAGATAAGTCCTGAAAGATTTTGCAGAATATCCAGAATTTAACTCATAACAATAGTAAAATTTCTATTTGGCCCTTTCATCTTGGACATAGACACTTTCCAGCTCTTAGTATCAGTTATAACTAAGGATGCAATGTTTTCATTCCAGGAAAATGATCAGGTAAGAAAGAGATGTCCAAGTCAACTCCATGTTTTTTGTCCAATAATTGGATAAATGGTAATAATATCTACTAAAAAAGAGAATCCTTGGGCAGAGACATATTTGGGGTGGGGGTGGAAAATTAAGAGCTTGCCTTTCCTTCATCATTTTGGTGATTTACAGTTTATGTTGTTACCATCAGTATTGGTGTAACACCCTTTTACATGTTTCTGGTACACATGGGGAAGACTTGCTCTATGGTATACAAATAGGAATAAAATAGCTGAATTCCAAGATCGTTGAGTCTTCAATTGTAATATTTTTGTGGAATTTGAGAAGAAAATTCATGTGCACAAAGTATTCTACAAGTGAGGCAGAATTACCATTCAGAAATGATAATTGTATGGTTCTGTTTAGATATCTACATTAAATGTGGGGTAATTTCAACCTGTTTAACCTCCTCTGGTTCTGATTTCAATAGGCACCATTAAATGGGTAGATGGAGACTGAAAACCATACAGCAGTGACGGAGTTCATTATTCTGGGGTTAACAGATAACCCCATGCTATGTGCCATCTTCTTTGTCATTTTCCTGGGAGTTTACATAGTTACCATAGTGGGAAATATCAGTATAATCATCTTAATCCGAAGCAGCCCACAGCTTCACACCCCGATGTACCTTTTCCTCAGCCATTTGGCCTTTGTGGACATTGGGTACTCCACGTCAGTCACGCCAATCATGCTCATGAGTTTCTTGAGAGAGAAAACGACCATCCCTGTGACTGGCTGTATAGCCCAGCTTGGCTCTGATGTCACCTTTGGGACTACAGAGTGCTTCCTGCTGGCTACCATGGCCTATGATCGCTATGTGGCCATCTGCTCTCCCTTGCTCTACTCCACCCAGATGTCCCCAGTGGTCTGCTTCCTCCTTTTGGGGGCTTCCTACCTGGGCGGATGCATGAATGCTTCATCATTTACAGGCTGTCTGATGAACCTATCTTTCTGTGGACCAAATAAAATCAACCATTTTTTCTGTGACCTCTTCCCACTCCTGAAGCTTTCTTGTGGCCATGTTTATATTGCCGAAATATCTCCTGCCATCTCTTCTGCATCCGTCCTCATCAGCACACTGTTTACCATAATTGTGTCCTACAGCTACATTCTCCACTCAATCCTGAATATGCGCTCTACGGAGGGGAGGAAGAAGGCCTTCTCTACCTGCACTTCCCACCTCACTGCGGTCACTTTGTTTTATGGGACAGTTTTGTTCGTTTATGTGATGCCCAAGTCGAGTTACTCAGCTGATCAGGTCAAAGTGGCATCTGTGATCTATACAGTAGTGGTCCCCATGTTGAACCCCCTCATCTACAGCCTGAGGAACAAGGAGGTGAAAGGGGCCATGAGAAAACTAATGGCTAAAACACACTGGTTCTCCTGAATTACGTCAGATATGAATCCATAAATAACAAACCAATGATTTGGGGAAAAATTTGTGCTGGATACTTTGATGATATTTATCATTAACTTTATCACTTTGATAGTGAAGAACTCCTATAAATATAAAAAGCCAATGCTGACTGCCATATAGAAAATGAAATATGTGATTAACATGGAAATCTGCTTCATTCAAATTAAGTATGAACTTTCCAAGGTAAGAATACCTTTGCAAAATAGTTCCATTCATCAGTTGTGAGTCCTATTTAAATAAAGAGAGCTATTTCCATCAAAGATCAAACTTGATTGAATTCCATCTTGTTAAATAACATTTGGCAAAAAACAAAAACAAAAACAAAAACAAAAAAACCTTGTCCCCAGCTAATGGTTATATTGACAAGTCAGGCTGTTCAGGTCACTTCCTTTAAAGATACTGCCCTGCCTTCATCAATGAACATTTAAATTTTTGGAAACACTGATGTTGGTGTCTCCAAAAAGCTTCTATTTTCACTTTATTTAAGCCAAAGTAAAGATCATGATTCTTCCGTGTGGCCATTAAGAGATCCAACCCAGATAACACAGAATGAACTTTGTATACGTCTCGTGGACTCTTTTTGCAATGTGAGTCTTACCAGATGATTCTAGAGTAGGACTTCAAAAGCTGAAGTTTCTTTGGAGGGGGAGACTGGGATATTGGGGCTTTCTTTCAACAATAATTGATAGATAGGAGGCATGAGATTATGGTTCAGGCAAATAATATGTTTGCCACATATTTTATAATGTCTCTCAGGGAGGTGTCTCCTGTCACTGCTTTTTCCACTGACCTTTTTGAAGGGGCTTATGGTCTAGTCTGGTATGTCAACTGCCTCTAAATCGATTCCCTTCCTCCTATACTCCTTTCACAATTATTTATGATTAATATTCTAGCTAACATATTTTATTATCAGCATAGGAATAATGTCAGACAAACAAATTCTGTGACAGGTTGGAGGGATCACTTTACAAGCTGACCCGAGTTCTTCACGAATCAGATCAAGGAAACCTCCTTCTTTTCTGCCTGGAAGCTACTCTGTGAAATTTGTCTGGTCCCATTTCTCCATTTATGCCTCAAATTTACTTACACCAATTATGGGGCCTGTAAGCCCAGCAGTGCAATAATTCGGGGGCTCGCATCAGCACAGGCATGCCCCTTTGCAAAGAGAGGGCCTCCAAAGGTGTAACTTCAGTCTTGGAAAAGGCATCCTGGGAGTCATAGTGGGAGCTCTGCACTCTGGTGGTTGAAGTTTCTTTTTTGCTGTTTCTGGAAGTCTTTGTCTTCATCTTTCCTCTTATACTTTGCTTTTCACCAGGGTACATCCTCAGCCCTCTGCTCTGCTCCCCCTCCCCATAATCCCTTGGGTGATCTTATCTTCTCCCATGAGCTCAGCTGCCCCCTTTGTGGTGACAGAATCCCTACACACCCTTCCTTGGAGTACAGATGAACTTCTTCACCGACCCTTCCCTTTTCCCCCAAGACTCTCAAACTCAGTGTGTCCTGACTTGAATTTATCAGACATCTCACAAAACTATTCCTTCTCCTCTGGTCCTTTCTCAATAAGTGGCATCTCTTTGTAAGGCCTTGTACTGCAAGTGATCTGGGGTGACCATCCCTGCACACCCATCAAAATGGTCTGCCTCCCTCCAACCCTTTCCTTCTGTCAGAGGGAAGACATGCTGCATATGGACCGCTTCCTCATCCAAGTCTCTCCTTTCTAGGTGCTTAAAGACTCTCCAGTTGATTATGGTAAGTTCACGCAGAGGTTTTTCCTTCCTATTCAATAATCCAATCCCCCAGATGTAGGTGGTGTGGTGTGTGGCACTGTTACCTCTTTAATGGGAGAGGATACACATTGGCACCTATTTTTTTTCCCTCCCAAATTCTAAATGAGGAAATGGCACATAGGAGAAGGCATGTAGGAGAGCAAAATATTAACCTGCACAAATGAAGATATTAGAATATCTTCATATTTGAATATCACATATTTGTGGACACAGGTGTTTTCATGTTCTAAATCCCAGAACTTGACACTCTCCTCTCTGTCCCTGGCAGTATTGGAAACACTCAGGTCTCCCCAGTGAAACTGGGTCTTTCCCCATCTGTTTACAGCATGACCAAGAGTAGCCCAGAGCACTGAGGTCAAGCTTGCTCCCAAGAGAAACGAGGAAGGGGAAAGGCTGGGCTTGCTCTTCTGCTTGAATTGTGTCCTTCAAAAATTCATATGTTGTAGTCCTAACCACCAGTATCTCAACGTGACCTCATCTGGGAATAGATACAGATGTTACAGATGTAAGTAGTTAAGATAAAGTCATATTGGAGTAGGATGGGCTTCTAATCCAATATGACTAATATCCTTACTTACAAAAGAAAAAAAAAGAATTTGGACACAGACAACACACAGGGAGAGCCTCATGTGAAAATAAAGACAGAGAAATAGGTTATGCTTCTATAAGCCAAGAAACTGCAAAGATAACCCACAAATCATCAGAAGCTAAGTGAGAGAGCTAGAGCAGATCTCACAGCCCTCAGAAGGAACCAACCCTGCTGACACTTTGATCTTGGACTCCTAGCCTCCAGAATTGGGAGACAATCACTTTTTGTTGTTTAAGCCACTCAGTTCGTGGTGCATTGTTATAGCTGCTCTCACAAGTTAATACAACTAACTACATATCTAGTATTCCCCTCCAAACTGACTATTGGCTAATTTACTATTTCTTGGGGAGGAGGGAGTGAAGGCTAAGAAAAGTGTGTTATGCTAATGGATAGCTCTTCCAAAGGGGGACAGAGAATACTAGAAATGGGAAAAAGCATTTTCTCCAAAGAGCACATCAAAAAATAAAGATCGAGACTATCCCTGTGCAAATAATCAAAAACTCCTTTTGTAAGAATTTTTTTTTTTTTGGAAGTTTCCTGATGACTGTAGACTATAGATTGTTACTTAGAAGGCAGAGATATGAACCAGGAGAAGATTTTAAAGATCCTGAGCTGTTGGGTTGTTAAAAGATTTTTAGTCTATATAAATTTCAGGAAAATTTTCTTCTTTTGGAGTGGATTGGGACTTAGGAAGTCATTGACATTCTTCATATTCCGTGAACCTTACCTGTAGCAGAGTATTAGAGCAGACTGTAGGCAAAGGGGTGAGAGGTAATTTGGGGGTGAGGAAATCATTGCATACCGTGATTAAGATGGTGGTTAGAGAAGCGTTTACATTTGTCAAAAGTCATCTACCTACATATTTAAATTGTGTGTATGTAAATTATACTTTAATAAAGTTGCTACTTTAGAAGATTCTAGAAGAGAGTACTCCTTTCTTTCTCATTTTAATCTGAGGCTACAGGCAGTGGCAACAGGATTACCATCTACCTAGAAATGGAGGCCAACGCTATTTCTTAATTAGTTATCAAAGCTGTTCCCTCACCTGTTGTACCTCCTCTAGTTTCCCAGATATTTATTCTTTTTTTTCCTTTCATGCCTTTCTTCAACACTGTGCCGATACCAGCACTAACTTTCTTTCTGCTTAAAAATATTCTATTATTTCTTCTTTTATTACACATTTGCTGGTGATGATTTTAAAGTTTGGGGTAGGTTCATTTATTTTTGGTCACAAAGAGTCTTTGGTCAACAAGAGTCACCAAAAAAATCTTTTTTTTTTTTCAATTTTTACATGCTTTTATTTTGAAATAATTACAGATTCAAGGAGCTGCAGTGATAGTACAAAGAGGGCCTGTGTACCTTTGATGCGGCTTCACCCCAGGCTACTAATGAATCAGAACAAAAACTAAGAAATGGACGCCGAGACAATGTATTAGTATAGTTCTGTGCAACGTCATTATTTTTTTTAAAAGATTTTATTTATTTATTTGACAGAGAGAGACACAGCGAGAGAGGGAACACAAACAGGGGGAGTGGGAGAGGGAGAAGCAGGCTTCCCGCAAAGTGGAGATCCCTGTGTGGGACTCGATCCCAGGACACTGGGATCATAACCTGATCATGACCAGACGCTTAATGAACTGAGCCACCCAGGCACGCTGTGCACATTCATTCTTGAAGATAAGTCTGTTTTGGGTAGATTTCTAGGTTACCAGTTATAAATCTTGGAGCACTTTTAAGATGCAATTGTTTTCTTGTTTCTATCATTTCTCTCAAAACTTCAGCCATCAGTCTTCTTCTCTCTCTCGTCCTCTTTTTCAAAAGGAATATGTCTTGTATGTCCCCCTTGTTGGGGAAATCATCCAAAAGATGTGACTACCCAAGAACCCAGGAGCTGGACCCAGGCATTCAGCAGCTCTGGGCCTCCTCCCCTGTCCTTGGAATGTTCCTGTTGCCTCTCCTGCTCCCTGAGCCTGCTCCAAGGACACAGCCTTGAGACGGTAACTGGTATTGAAAACACCTGCGTGGTCTGCATGGCTGCACCCAGTTAATGCCTCCTTACAAGCTTTAAAGGTTTGGCTGGTAGGTGGGGGGATGCATTCGCCGTTTTGCTGCTGCCCAAGACAAGCCTTGAATGTAAGTTCCCTTTGCTATTAAAACTGCCATCTTCCAACCCGGAGTGGCGCCTCACTTTTTGGTTTTTCCCTGCCCTGTGTGTAAGAGGGCTGGTTTCAGATTATACATGGGAAGCTCCAGGAGAAGGTCTCAAGCCAACACCCCAGAAGTTTTTAACATTTGCTTTTGGCTTCTTGTGGTCTTGTTATGATTGCCCAAAGTGCAGTTGTTCTACTTAACCGTGTTTGGAAGATGCGGGATTTCTTGAATTTGTGGCTCATGGTCTTTCATGTCTGGAATATTATCACTGAATATTTCTTCGGAAAGTTCTTCTACTTCTCCTTTTTGCTTGGACTTCAATTGCACATGTGTTAAATCGTTTCACAATTTCCTGTATAGCTCTCATCCTTTTTGTATTTTTTTTCTCCATCCAGTAACATGTATGTTCTCTACTGACCTATCTTTCAGTTTACTAATCCTCT